CATTTCCGTCGACGGAAGGACGAAATTGGTCCCAAAAATTGAAGTTCAAGGATTTTTTTAGTACTTTTTGAAGTTCGAGGGTAGTTTTAGTTCAAAAATGAAAGTTGAGGGACTGAATCGGGGATATAACCATTAAAATATCCTTTTCATGATGCTCTATAAATAGAGCGGTGTCAACTTTTCCTCTAGAAAAACCTTTTTCAATTAGAAACCTACTTAGTCTTTCATACCAAGCTCTAGGAGCTTGTTTTAAGTCATACAAAGCCTTAGATAACTTGAATACATGATCTGGGAAATGGGGGTCCTCAAAACTAAGGGGTTGCTTAACATAAACCTCTTCCTTAATGAATCCATTTAAAATGCACTTTTAACATCCATTTGAAAAATTTTCATGTTTATATGACATGTGAATGCACATAGAATACGTATAGATTCTAATCGAGCAACTGGTGCATATGTTTCATTATAGTCTATGCCTTCCTCTTGACTATATCCCTTAGCAACTAATCTTGCTTTATTTCTAACTACATGACCATGTTCATCTAACTTATTTCTAAAAACCCATTTAGTACCTATGATAGGATGATCATTAGGACAAGGTACAAGATTTCATACTTTATTTCTTTGAAACTGATTTAATTCTTCTTGCATTGCTAAGAACCAATTTTCATCCTCTAATGCATCATTGACATTCTTAGGTTCTATATGAGAAATAAATGCAAAGTTATTCACAAAATCAAAGTGAGATCTTGTTGTTACCGTCTTTTCTATGTCACCAATGATATGTTCTTTTGGGTGATCTTTCTTGAATTTCCATGTCTTTGGAAAGCCTTGGCAAGGAACATCATTCTGTTCTTGTGAGCCTTCTTTTCCAAAATTTTCTTCAAGATGTAGCTCTCCAATCCTAGTTTGAATTTCACCTGCATCATCATCCAAAAACAACCTTTCTCGGGGAAAAATTATTTTCAACAAATGTAACATGCATGGACTATTCTACAACCAAGGTTCTTTTGTTATAAACTCTATATGCTCTACTTGTTAATGAGTACCCAAGAAAAACAGCCTCATCACTCTTAGCATCAAATTTTCCTAGATTTTCTTTGCCATTGTTATGCATAAAGCATTTACAACCAAGTGCATGAAAATGAGAAATATTTGGTTTCTTATTTTTCCACAATTCATATGAAGTTTTATTCAACTTTGACTTGATTAGAACTCTATTTAAAATGTAACATGCTGTGTTAATAGCCTCTGCCCAGAAATATTTTGGTAATTGATTTACACATAGCATTGTTCTGCCCATTTCTTGTAAGGTTTTATTTTTCCTTTCAACAACTCCATTTTGTTGAGGATTTCTCGCTGAGGAAAAGTTATGTTCAATTCCATTTGAGTTACAAAATTCTTTCATTTTATCATTCTCAACCTCACCTCCATGATCACTTTTAATGCATGTAATAGTGAACCCCTTTTCATTTTGCACCTTTTTAAAAAATTTAGTAAATTTGCTAAATTTATTTTTCTTAGGAGCCAAAAATATAGTCTAGGTATATCTAGAATAATCATCTACAATTACTAAAGTATATTTTTTACCTCCCAGACTAGTGACATCAATAGGACCAAACAAATCCAAGTGCAAAAGTTCTAGTGGCCTTGATGTAGTTACATCCTTCTTCGACTTAAAAGAAATTTTTGTTTGTTTACCTTGTTGACATGCATACAAATCTTATCTTTCTCAAAAAGTAGTTTAGATAAACCTACAACTAGATCTTTCTTAGATAATTTAGAAATCAAGTGCATGGATGCATGTCCTAACCTTTTATGCCATAGCCAACTCTCACTTTCAATTTTAGCCATTAAGCATTTTACATTATATGAAGATAAATCATCAAAATCAACAATATAAAAATTTCCCTTCCTTTTACCAACAAATAGAATTTCATCATCATGAATGTTTAATACTTTGCATGCATTTGACTCAAAAATAATTTTGTGCCCCCTATCACATAGTTGACTTATACTAATCAAATTAAGCTTGAGACCTGTTACATAATAAACATTTTCTATAACTAAACCAGAATTCTTACCTACTTTGCTAATACCTTTGATGTGACCTTTTGCATTGTCACCAAAAGTCACCGTTCCTCCTTCCATTGCCTCAAGGTTCAAGATTTGTGATTTGTCTCCTGTCATATGTCTAGACCACCCATTGTCTAGATACCATTTTTCTTTCTTCAATTTTTCTTTGAAGCTTCCTTGAAAACACAACTTAAACACTTGATTTTGGTACCCAAACTTTCTTGGGTCCATTTGAGTTCGTTGAACAAGTAGAAGTTTTCTTAGGAACCCACTTCAAATTCATCTTAAAGATATTCTTTCTAATATAGCACTGATGGATATAGTGTCCCCTTTTCAGGCAATAATGACAAATGATACCATGATTATAGGAATGATGAACATGATTATCTTTAGAACTTGATGCTTCTACCATGTCATAAGAATGCAAAGCATTACATTTCATAAAAAAAGTAGATTTAGATGAGGAAGACTTAGATAATTCAAAAGAAGGTCCAGCTTTATTATGAGGAAATCTTTGTAACTTAAATTGTTATCTAACTTACCTTTGCCTTTCACAAAACTATTCAGAGAACTTTCAAGATGGCTTATTTTCCTTTTTAATTCATCTACCAGCTTATCATGCTCTTCAATCAACTTCTTTTTATAATTTCTAAAAGCAATTGTTGACTCTTCAAAGTTAGTTTTTATATTTCGACTAATTATCATTTCCTCATTTAAAGATTCTTTCAAATCATTGTTTTCTTTTCTAAGTGACAGAATTTCCCTTTTCAAAGGTGCATTTTTTGCACTAATTTGTTTAGAATGCTCATATAATTCATTAAATGCATCTTGCAAATCTTCATATGACAATTCATCATCACTTGCATGATCAAAAATAGAGGTAGAAATGGAATTTACCTCATCTATGTCATCATTTGCCATGAGACAAATATGAGCTTCCATGTCACTTTCTTCTTTACTAGAAGATGAGTCCTCACTATAGCTCCATGTGGCAACCATTGCCTTCTTTTTCTTTTTGGCTCTTAGACTCTTTTCATCATTGTTTGGACACTAAAATTTAATATGTCCAGCCTTCTTGCATTTGTAGTAGATAATCTCATCCTTTTTACTGCTTTCTCCCTTTCCTTTATTGCTATTGTAGTTTTTCTTTTGCTATCCTTGATTCTTTAGCCTATCTTTCCTTAGGAATCTCTTAAACTTTCGAGCAAGCAATACAAATTCTTCATCATCCTCTTCATCATTGTCACTTTCATCTTTGGAGGAGCTTCTGAAAGCTATAAATTTCTTCTTTTGAGAATCATCATCACTTTCATCATTTTTCATGGCCATTTCATGTGTAAGGAGCTTCCCTTGAAGCATCTCAACAGTCATGGCACTTAAATCACGAGCTTCTTCTATTGTCGTCTTGATTGAGCTCCAAGGGCAAAGAGTGGAGAATCTTTTTGACCTTATCTTCCTCAGGAAGCACCCTATGAAAAAGCTTTAATTCATTAGTGATTTTGGTAAAGCGAGTAAACATGTCTTTAATGTCTTCATCTAATTTCATTTTGAAAAGCTCATATTTTTGAACCAATATGTCAATTTTTATTTCTTGACTTCATTAGTTCCTTCATGAGCCACTTGTAATTTATCCACATTTCCTTAGCAGAATCACATGCACTAAATCTATCACATTCACTAGGATGTAAAGCACAAAATAATGCATTTTTAGCTTGAGCATTTATCTACAGTTTTTTCCTATCAGCTTCATCATATGATGCAGGATCCTTAGGAACAAGTTTGTTATCCTTGTCTTTAACTAAGACTTTATATGGTCCTTTAGCAATACAATCCCACATCTCATAGCTATTTGCTTCTAACCAAATTTGCATCCTATTTTTCCAGTATTGATAATTTGTTCCATCAAAATAAGATGGCCTAGTGATTGAATGACCTTCAACAAAATGAGTTTGGGAAGCCATGGATCTACTCAAGATTGTTAAATCTATTTTTAAGAGAACCTGCTTTGATACCAATTGTAAACCCAGTTGGCTATCTAAGAGGGGGTGAATTGGGTTTTATCAATTTATTTCAAAATATTCTTTTTCTTTTAAAACTTGAATCAAATTTTCAATATATAAATTGTTATGCAAAATAAATAAAGAATGATTGCAATCTTGCAAATAAAGTGCAGAAAAATAAAAAGAAAGAGAAGAGAATATCAAGCCGTGATTTATAGTGGTTCCTTCAACCCAGCGTACGTCCACTCCCTAAGCCTCTTTGCTCGAGAGTTCAATCCACTAGGATTCTCTTACTTGTAGGTGCAAGATTAAACCTTCACACTCTTGCTCAAGGTGCAAGATTAAACCTTCATAAGTGAATCTCAACAACTCACTCAACCCTTTCACGGATTATCCCAATCCAAGAGAATACAATACCCTTGTAAGCAATGCGAAGAAGAAGAAGAAGAAGAAGAAGAAGAAGAAGAAGAACCTTCACACTCTTGCTCAAGGTGCAAGATTAAACC